TCCAGGTAGACTAGAACCATTTGGAACACAAGGTCACTCATCGTTGCGTGCATTAACCGTTGGAAGGTTGCGGGTGCGTTGCACAACCCAAAAGGCATCCTTAGGTATTCATAAAGGCCAAAGGGAGTTGTGAAGGCCATTTTGTGTCTGTCTTTTTCCTGGACTGCAACTTGGTGATACATACAGCTGTGGGTGAGCACTGCATGTATACAACTATCATAGCAACACCCACTGGGCACTTACTAAACAACACCTTACTGCACCAGGGAGAGTTTCAGTTACTCCCCTTAGGAAACTGTAATTTTATTAATTGACCCGGCTACACATGCATATACAATTTTGCAACAGGTGACAGTGTGTCACCAACAGTGCCCCCTTTCTGGTTTCACATAATCTTTTGCACTGTGCTTGTTTCTGCTTCCTTCTAAATGTTGAGACAAACAGTGCTAGGTAATCTGTCACCCTATTTCCCTGTATAATATCCAGCAGCCTATAACTTAACTCAATGAAATTGATTCACATTATTTGAAAGTATTCAATGTTTTCTTCTAAAAAAAAATCCCATAAGTACAACTGCATACTCACCACATTAGTGGGATACAGATTTATTTTCTTTATTTAAAAAAAAAAAAACCTTTAAAAAAGACTTTAAAACTCGGTACCAGTCACTGCAGCAGTGTTGCTCACTACATCATGTACTACTACTACTGCTATTCACACAAAGTTCACAAGAAAAGCTTATTATATGAAGTTAAAGGCCAACAGAAGTGTCTCCTGACACGTCTGCCTTCTGTTCTTGTCACCTTCCTTGCATGATTTCGGCAGTGACTTCTGCTCCTCGTACAACCCTCGGAAGGTGCACTGACTCTGCCAGAACCACAGTGTTGTGTACTTCGCTGTGCAGGTGACACAGAACAGTACTGATGTTTGTGAAAGTAAGCTGGTGTTGTTTGTCTCTCGGTATATTTACATTGCTTACTAGTAGTATTGGACAGGAGTGTCTGGGTCTTTCTGTGGGATGTGAGGTGAGCTCAGCAGCTGCTGAGTACAGGGTTCTGTGCCACAACTTGTCGGGGAGGAGTGAGCCTGCCTCCTCTGCAGCCGGAGACAGTTCATTCGTCACCCCCACACATACACTCAGTGTAATTATGACAGCTTTTTATTAAGGTAGTTGCAGTTATTTTCAAAAATAAAAAACTGCATTTGTTTTGTACTGTGTCACTGGTGCTTGGCAGCCCTTCATTTTGAGACATTTACAGGTGTCGCAAACCCGAGGCTTCGGTTAGCGTGTGCTAATGTCAGCACATGCAACCCCACTGTGTAAGACTTTGAGTCTGTCACATGACAACAGGGTTTTATCCAGAGAGAAAGGTGGAAAGCGTGCAGAGGTGTCATCACACCCAGGGTGGGACTCGGTTGCACTTTTGTTCCATTGAGTGAAGGGTCACTGTTTCTCTCCATGTTGCCCCTCGCTCAGGTCTGTGTTGGTAGCAGCATGTAATGTATGTGTTTGCTGTGTATTTGTGTGTCTGCAGCATGTGCTGGGGTTTTCCTGATTGGACTGCTCATATAAATTTTGCAACACAGAGTGGTTGAAACAACCACCAAAACACTCTGGTGTGTGTGTGTGTGTGTGTGTTGTGCACATATGCATGGAGGGATTGGTGATTAAAGGCTTTTGCTTTGGCCTGTATGAAAGGCAGCTACAGTAAATGTAGTCTGACTCTGCCAGTCTTCTGTGAATAAAAGCTGCTCTTTGTCGAGTTTGTCTGTGATTCACTCGGTTTCCATTCTGTTCTTCACTGCAGAGTCTGCTTCACTGGTCTTAGCAGTGGGAAAATGCCTAATGTTTGAGAAATGAACACTCACTGTGTTTATTATTGTTGATTTGATGGGAGAACTTAGTACAGTTGTGCATCATTTCACATTACAAAGTCTAGCAGTTATGTGACTTTCTTACAGTTATGGAAGAGCTTTTGTCAGATACATGTTTACATTTTTCACACTTGGGTAAGGCTTTTCTTCTCAACTTATCTCTAAATTTATCTTCAAGGTCAAAAAATGAATAACAGTAGTAGTACAAACAGCGTAACAGTAGTCAGTCTGACCTGACTCTTTGTTTCTCCAGAGAATGACAAGCCTATGAAGGGTCTTCGTCAGGAGGACCTGGTGAACCAGGATCTGATCACGGAGCTGAGGAAAGAGTTTGGCATGACACACGATGACTTCTACATGGTCCTCGCCGACACCGATATGCGAATCAAGGTAGGGACTTCTCTGTGTAGCTGTTTGGAGCTGGATCCACTGAAGTGCTCAGAGACCGCATATTCCAGAGCCTGATGATGAAAAATAATAGTGGTAATAAGTAAAAATAAGATTAACATAAATGTCTTAGTACAGTGAAGCCCAGTAAGTATTTGCATTAATGCATAAGGGCAGACAGGAGAGATCCACTATGTACATACTTATCTATGCATACATATCTGTGGCAGCATGGATATATAACGTATATATTGCAGCCAGTAACTTTTCATGTAGCGCCACATAATGGTCTTGTCAGATTGAAAACTGACAGGATTTCCATCAGCATCAGCTGCACTTTGTGTAGTTATTCTGTGTAGTGTACTATGTGTGACACAACAAATGTACAGTAGGTCTCTACTGACCATCTCTTTGTCAACGTTGATACGGTGAATATCTTAGTTTCTGACATTAGCCTATAGCCCTAAGCACCAGTGTCCAGCCAGGTGTTTGTGGTTATCGATCACTGCTACTGCAGATACTGTAGATCACCTGAACTAGAAATGAGTCACTTGCAAACTGAAGTTTCCTTTGGCCTGGTTTCAGACGTTGCAGCCTTCATGGTAGATCTAGCCTGACTTGGGAGAGGTCGTGAAAGACCTCTAAGCATGATGTTAAAGTACTTGCTCTGTTTTACGTTGTGTTGCTTTATCCTGTCAGAGGAGCTGTTTTCTGCTGTAGTCACAATCCTGTGTTTACACATCCACCAGCCATCTGCCCAACACTCATCGCCGCCTCCTCTTTGAAGTTGAACTGAGCTGTCCTCGCACTGTCGGCACGCTGCCTTCACTAAAACACTGTTCTAATTCACACTGCATGACATTTTCCCAGCACCTGTGCTGGTGTGTGCCAGAGTAAACCAGCAGGCTGTTTTTGGAAAGATTCATCAAAGAGGACAGTGTTCAGCTCTCTGCTGACAGAGGCAGAGACGGAACCAGGAAGGTGTGAGAGCATGTATGCTGCTGTGTTACATTTTCTTGCTTGTGTTTGAAAATCATGCTTAGACTTTTGTGGCACTTGTCCTCTTTCCCAGAAGGAAGGTATTGTGAAGAAATCTTGGGATGTGACAAAGGTCACACTGCATCTACATCACTTTACTGGAGACCTTTTCACCGTGACTTTAAGCAATACAAATCTATTTCCACATCCTCTGTGTCACTTGAATTTATTTATTCTGTGGTTTCACCACATTTCAGATCAACCTTTGGTCGAGTCTGACAGTTTTGTTTTGTTTTTGTTTTTGTTTTTGTCAGCAATCCTATGAGGTTCCCATCGCCATGAAGGCTGTGTTTGACTACATTGACACCTTTTCCTCCCGCATCCGAGAGATGGAACAGCAGAAGAGAGATGGGGTCACCTGTAAGAAAGAGGACAAACCCAGGTCACTGGAGAACTTCCTCTCCAGGTTAGGAGGTTTCTGACATTACAAACACGAGCAAGAATATGTTGCTATGCCACTTTGCCCAAAATATCATTGTACCATTTGGATTTAGCTTAATTGCAACTTACCCACACCATCCATAAAAAGTCTCATGTCTACAGAAGTAAAGCCATGCAGGGTTTCTTTTAATATTTATAAAAACATCTACAAATCACCTGAGAGGAAAAACTTTATATAAAGATCTCTGCGTCACTGGCATTTGCTTTAATAAAGCAACCTGCCTCAGTGCAGTGTACAGAATTACTGGGCTGTTTCTGCTTCCATCAGACATTTGTGGCTTTGCTCAGTGAGCGACTGGATCACAGTTTGTGCATATAAGCAGCAGATTGCAGCAGCTTGTTTTTGTGTTCTCTACTGATATCAAAATGAACATAAAGCCCAGCCATTCCTCAAGGCTGAATTGTTGCGTTCACATAATTTCCTGAGATGTCTAAACCAGACAGGCTGTCTTTTGTTACCATGGAGACCTGAGTTCCAGCTCCACATCACAGTGCTGAGATCTGGCAGGTTTTTGACCATAATTCAGGGTTGTCACCCTCTGGCAGCATTAACATGGGAATATGTTAGTGTGCAAACTCCTTGTCTTAGCACAGAGCTTTCACTGCTGCACCAAAGTGGCACTTAAATCCGAGCTACAATTTTCTGTGATTGTAGGTTCCGCTGGAGACGTCGCCTGTTCATCATCTCCGCCCCCAGTGATGAAGAGTGGGCCTATCAGCAGCAGCTCTACGCCCTGACCAGCCAGGCCTGCAACCTGGGTGAGTCGCCTGGCATCAGGCACCAGTTCAGTCACTGTAACACTGACCCACGACTGGTGAACTAACTCACTCTCCTGAGGTGTAGAGAGGGACTAGACAGGGTTGTTTACCCAAATAACACACAAAAAAGCAAATGTTCTTCAAACTCTGTTTTAATGTCATGCAGAAAACGTTATTTGCAAAGGCTTTGAGACCACTGGTGAGACATGACACTATCATCCCAGTGCAGTGGACGTGCATTAAATGTGCAACAATTGATTTTTAGCCAGAGGAAACAAACTGAACATCCACTGTTTGTCACTCCCTCATTTGCTGTCATCCCTCTACTATCGGCTATGAAATAAAGGCATAAAAATGCAACAAATGCTTTCAAAAATATTTTAATTAAAACAGTTAATATGGCAAACCTATAGTCATCGTTTCAGTTGCACATTCAGTCACTGTACACAGCAACATCAGCTTTCAGTTGGAGTTGTTTCAACTCAGTCCAGTGTTCTCGCTCTTTTAGCTCTTTTAGTGTCCTCTTCACATTGGCAGGACAGATGTTTGGCCTGAATTATCTGAGTAGGTGCATATTTTAGGTGGCTGCAACTATTAAAATCTAATCAACCATCAGATTTTGTAATGGTTTTTCCTGTGCATTTCAACCTGATGCTCGGTGGTGACCTCAACATCACCCAGGCGCTGTCCTGCCAAAGTATTAGTCAGACCGCTTTTGAACATTTTCATCACATGCACAAGTAGATTACATGAAATGTCTTTGTTTACTGCAACCCTCCGGTTAGTATCAACATCTGTGTGCACACAGAGGGATTCCAGATGACAGAACTGGCAAAGGGAGGTTCTGTTCACTCTGGAGCTGAAAAGCTCCTTTCCTTCCCTAACGACGGCCTTTTCAGCCAGTTGGTCAGCTTTTCCAGTTTTGACTCATTTTTATTACTTTGTCTCAAAAAGAGACATTTATCTAAACTCTGCAAATGTCAACAACCCGACTGGTCTGACAGATTTATGTGATATGTATAAACGTTAAATAGCCCATGGTGAACTTCGCTCTTCAGTAAAACCAAATAATTGCTGTCATCAGGACTTCCTCCCCCACTTGAGCCTCATGGTCCAGCCTTGTTTATGTGAATTTAAAATTCCTGACATTTCTTCTGGGCTCTTCTTTACTCAGCACTCCTTTCTCTTAATGCTTAGTCAGGAACAGAGATATATTTGTCACATGACTCTTGATCAAGAAGAAATGAGCACACATTCGACTAGATTGAAGACTTTCTTTGAGGTAAAATTTGCTAAAGTTATGTTGAACATTTCATTAGCTAATAAGTCAATACTCCCAGATGCTTTAAACATCAGCCTTCAATCTTTTGTCTGCTTTCAAACCAATTCTCTGATGAATTAGAGCCAAGTAAAGTTATTTTTACAACCTGGCTTCCCTGATCTCTTATGAAATGGACCTTGGCAGAAAATGACACCCAACTATGATGTCGCTATACATCTGCAGAGAGGATGAGGGGCTTGTCTTACTGATCAGCAGGCTCAGACCAGTCCCCAGACAAAGGCCCATCCTGCTGACTGGGCTTCAGGCCTGAGAGGTCTGATCCTGGTATTCAGCACTTGGCTCTCACAGAGTAAAGCCAGCATTCTCCTGTGTTTAATGTGGGCTTTCTAGCTTCAGAGAAAATGCTTTTTGGCAGGACTTTCTAGACCACCACAGCCTCCTCTCTTTACCTAGAAACCAGTTCTTATGATGGTTCCAGTAATGGAGAACCACAGTGAAAGCAGCTCAGATATAGTCAGCATATTACAGGCGTCATGCATTTTGAAGTCTGACTTTACTGTTATTTGTCTAAGATGTCTGCAGCTCTCTCATGTGTTCTGTCAATATGGCTGTTTCTATGGTGACACAGGTCTGAGGCACATCGCCATCCTCAAGTTGGTGGGGGCAGATCTGCTGGATATGGGCGGAGTCTTGGAACTCTATCCTATCAATGGTAAGAGGTTTCTCATATTGAATAATGAATGAGACTGGTTCAAACATGTCTGTAGCAAGCGCACACAGAACTTCTATTTATGTATATACTACCTCCTTTTACTGAATGCTAAGACTAAGCCCACACAGTTCACTAGTTTCAGCTGTCTGTCCTCATGCACCGAGTCACAACTCTTGTCCCAGGTCCTTTATGCAAAACCAGAATCCCAGTTAGTCCAGAAATCCCCCTGTACAAGCCAGTGCTTCTCTGTCCCGCCTCTGATCACTAATCCACTGTACGGTAAAAAGAATCTGGGCTTCATTTACTATTTCACCATGTCCCCAAGGGAGTCTCAAAGATTTATTTATAGGGACAATCCCCATACACATGTACAGCTGCTGCTGTGGTCAGAACCAAACTGTGAGTCATTTCTTTAATTTCATGTGACCTGGTAGATGTTGCTCAAGAGAACTCTTTATCAAACAAGGCGTTAACTTTACTGGGAAAAAGAAATGAGAGTCAGACTTGTGCAAAACTGTAGAGACCAGAGCTGTTGCCAGCGCACTGAGGTTTGTGCTTCTGGCATCTGAGCTCGGCATGTGGAGGCACAGTAAATGTCAAACAAGTCTGCAAAGGAAAACATGACACGACCCTCTCTGCCGTGAAAGTTTAATCTTAAATTAATTACTAACCTGAATGTCTGCTCCACCCAGGGAGTTCTAGTGTGGAGCGCGAGGGGCTGTCAGCAACCCTGGTGAAGGACATGAGGAACTACTTCCAGATCAGCCCAGAGTACTTCTCCATGCTGCTGGTAGGGAAGGACGGCAATGTTAAATCCTGGTACCCCTCACCAATGTGGTCCATGGCCATCATCTATGACCTGGTAGACTCTATGCAGCTGCGCAGACAGGAGATGGCCATCCAGCAGTCACTGGGCATGCGCTGCCCTGAGTGGGACGAGTATGGCGGCTATGGCTACCACCAACATGGATACGAACGCGGTTATGAGGACGGCTATCACCAGGGTTACGGTTACTAACCCAACAAGGCTACACAGCCGGAGCTTAGCGCTGTCGGCCCTCATCTTTTGAACCACAGCCTTTTTTAATCTTTCCTACCAGCTGGACAGTTTTTTATTTTTATTTTTTTCCCCCAGATGGAGTGAGGACCTTGAATGTTTTATAGCACTTAGTGGAAGCCTCCAAACTTGTGCTTTCAGTTTTTGATATCCAGTATATACAGTAGCATAGTATGCTGCAAGTCATGGTAGTTTGTAGAGATGCACCGATACTGATACCACTATCAATTTTGATACCACCCTCTGTCACTTGTACGTGTAACGATACTATGCAGCGATGCCAATTAACAGCGGCGGTATGTTAACAGCATGCTAACTGAGCAGGTCATTTCAACAGTTTGGGGATATTTTAGGATAAGTTACAATAACAAAAGTAAAGCCGACTGCCAGATCTGCTTCTCTGCTCTGTCTCTCTGGGAGGGAGGGGGTGCTCATAGACACAGCAGAGAGGACATGAGGTCGTATTTTACTGCGACGACAAATATGTCAAAAAAAGAGCATATTGGAGAGTAATTAATCAAACACCTGTTGAAGAAACAGAACAACAAACTTGTAGAAATGCAATGTCTTCACTCTCCCCGGGGTCAAAATGCCAGGTCCTGTTCATCCCGCTAAAACCACCACAGTGCTCGTTATGCTGATTGTTGTGAATGGGAAGAAAAACGCTAATTTTATCTAGTTAACAGATGAATAAAGAGGTAGGTGTAGGAAAATGAGCTGAATTCTTCTGGACTTGGATGCTGAGACCAGCAGCTCTACAGCAGAGCAGGACTCTATTAAACTATGTTGTGTAACAGGCGGTTACACAGGGGGCAGTGCTGTGTTATCACATAGTTAATCTGCACAGCCTCCTCATATTTGGCGACCCCTACTGCCAGGATGTGACACATATTATTCAGTCACAATCAGAAAGCTACAGAAGCCCTGAATGGCAAGTGGAAAAAAAATTCTTGTGATCCATTTTTTTTTTTTTAATAAATGAAGGCTTTTAGTCCAGACCCAGTCCAGCCAGACCCTTCTTTCTATTTAAAACATAGTGTAGTGATGCACCCTTGTGGCTGAAAGGAGTATGTTACACAACCAAATTAAAAAAAAATTTTTTCACCTGTTTCACAAATGAAAAAATCCCTAGTCACTTGCAAGGGCCTTTAGTCGGAGCTGGCTAATCAATAAATGTGTATTGGCCTGGAGGTTTAGGGACAGATGTTAATCTTTGTTTTCGACTTAGTGTTTTGCGTGTTATTACAGCATCTCTTTCATTTGACTTCCAAATCAAATTTACATATTTGTTATCAGCATGTTTTTTGTAGATAGTGGGCTAAAATAAGACGTATGTATTTATTAGACAACTGCTGCATCTGGGGTGCAGTTTTAATTTCAGGAAAAGCAGCTGTCATGTTTTCTCTTTTGTAAGGTTTCTGTTGCTATACAATGTTAATATTTATACCCTATTACGCTATATGATTAATAAACTTGTATTTACTACCAGCTATGGTCTGTGCACAGTCTCAGCACTGCAACAATCTCTTGGGCTACAGCTCCTCCTAGTGGCCAACAGGAAGATGAAGGGTGGTAAAACCTAGCCTAGGTTTCAAATGTGTGCTGTACCACAGTCTAAAGATATGCAGGTGACTCTAACCTACCCTTTAATTATCACTTTTCATCCACAATTACTTTCCTTTGTCCCCTCTCTGAAATCTCCCAACAGTACCCAACTCGTTTGTCCCCCTCCTTTGACACATCCTCTCCTGCACAATTACAAAATTTTTCATCTTTTAAATTCCATTACTGTTACTATTACCAAGCATTCCTTTCAGTTTATTTTCAGAATAACATTCATACAAATTTATGTCACAAACAAATCTTAGAGGTGTCTATACTTTTGTCTCCCCAGCTACTTACATGAGGGTCAGAATATTAGGAACACCTCTGAATATGATGTAGTCCAGTACACCACCTTTAACAAAGACCTGAATAATTAACATAACTTGAATTTATACATTTACAACAATTTCACCAAAAAACATTTTGAGCTTCATAAACACCGATGTTAAGGTGGAAGTGTCGCACTGAAGCGCACACACTTGTACAGGAGTACCTAATAATGTGGCTGGTGAGTGTAAGAAAAACATTTGATATAAAATTTAGAATTCCATGGTTATTTTTCAATCTACAGTATAGTTTGTGGATTTGTACAAGACTTGCTGAGGTTTTTTCACATTTAGCCTCAGATGACCAGAGAGTGGAACATACGTCCCCTACACAATGCCAACAATAATTAGAAATAGTTTAAAGCATAACTACAATATATAACAGCTGCTCCTTAAACCTATCCATCAGCTGCAGGTAATCAAACAGCTGCACACACAGCAGGAAGTGTCATATGAAAGAACACGAGTCCTTAAAGAGAACAAATGTAGTGACAACTGTTTTGCTGGTCTGTCCCCACATAAATGACAGCAGCTACACCCACTTCAAGGTATGAGACACAATATCAGGAGTGTCCTTCAGAGTTCATCGGACAACTGATCAGTACCGTCACATCACGTTTTACCTGCTGAGTGACTGAGCTGCATCCATGTCTACTGTGCAGTAGTGAAGAACAGTAGTTTCCATCTCATGGTCAAGCCAGGTAGTGCTACACAGACTCCTCCTCAGACTCACTGTCTGTGTTGGGCTTTGTCAGGAGCTCCAGCTCCTCACCATCCTAAAACAGGAAACATGGAGCCAATCAGAATGGAGGCAGAAGTGTTGGAGCCCAGTGGACAAGGCATTTCTTATGCTAACATCACCACCAAACATCAACTTGTTCAGATAGTGGAGTAGTGGATCTACTAACTTCAAGAGACAGAGGGGAAACGGTTTTAAGGCCACAGCTGCCAACCAGCATTTTGTTTTTGTTAGAACTCAGCCAAAGAAACCAGAAATACATCTGAGGTTTTCCTCAGCCTGGTACACACTGGTCAGGGAAATAACCCAGGATCTTGCTACCTCCCAGGGTGTCCTCATAGTTCTGCTTAATAGCTTCTTCTTTCAACAGACCACAGTGAGCTAAGACTCTAGCCTGAGTAGCAATGCTGTTTTCATAGCAGGGGATCGGGTTTCCTCCTGCACTGAACAAATCACACTATAGAGAAATGACGAGTCAGGTTTCCTACAGAGACCTTGGTATGTTTGTGGGGGGAGAGAAGGAAGCTTTACATGGGGGTTAGGTGAGTGTCGCTGAGTGAGAGATCTACCTACCCCCCTGGATCGCTCTAACACCTCGCCATTGACGACCCGAAGTTTTTCATGCTGCAGGCTATACTCCAGGTCCTTGGGCCGACTGGCGTTGTAGATAAAGATGGCCAGCAGGACCATGGGCGCCTGGAGGAAGAACTCTAGTGAAGGCTGGAAGTTGAAGAGGAAGAGGGAGAGGACGGTAACCAGAACAGTGGTAATCTGGCCCGTCAGCACGTGGAACATGTTGTCTCTGAATTTCAAGATAAAGGCCACAGATAAACCCAGGGCGGCTGGGGAGAAGACGGAGAGCAGAGGGAGAGTCTTAACTCAGTCATAGACTTCTGGACAGCCTGGCATTCAGCCCCACGCCTAAATCTGCCACATTTACATCATAGTTGATTTTGTATAAAGTGCACTGTCCCTGATAAATACAGAAATAAAGAAACACAAACATAAGCTCAAAATGATATTTTCCTTACAAATGGCTATTTGTAAGGAATGCAAGACATCACACAAAATTACCATGCTGTCCAGGAGTAGAAGAAGCATGATTGTGTCATATCAGCACAAAACATACTGGGCATGAGGTCGTTGCCAAGTGTCAGACCAGGGTTCGCATCCTCTCTAAAACTGTACTTGGGCTGTAACGGAGGACACACTCTTTTCATATCCCAAACATAACTATTATCATTATTATTACTTTCAAACCTTATAGGAATAAGGGACATATGCTGTCTTCCCAAGACTTAGTTGAGAATATTGATAGCATTGTCATAGCTGTCCATTAAATGTGAAGACATGGCCCACAGCTGGTTAGCTTAGCATAAAGACTGAAGTAGAGGGAAACTGATGGCTCGGTTCTGTCCAAAGGTTAAAGACGGTTAGCTTAGCATAACGACTGAAGTAGAGGGAAACTGTTGGCTCGGTTCTGTCCAAAGGTTAAAGAAAATCCACCTGCAAGAACCTCTAAAGCTTCCCATTAACACTTTGTAGACAAATAATCCAGCACACAACCCCCTCTACCACCACAACATACTTTATGCAAGTATTCCTAGGGATTAATAAACATATAAAATAGGGAGCTTTAGACATAACCAGGCTAGCTGTTTCCCCTTGCTTCCAGTCTTTATGCTAAGCTAAGCTAAGTACCTCCTGGCTGTAGAAAACACAGTGCTATCAGTCTTCTCATCTACTACTTGGGAAGAAAAAAAAAACCATATTTCCCAGCAGTCTGTAAACTAAACCAAATTAAATCAAGCCATTTTAATAGCCTAACCACAGAGGCATCACATTAGTTGTTTTGGAAGAAAATGACAGAACACCCATTTTATCACTGAGGCTGGAGGCTTTCTGTTTATCCACAGCTGCTCACCGGTGACCAGCACCAGGCCCAGGGAGTAAATGTTATGTCCATGGAGAAGGCCGCAGTGCACAGTGAGGCCTCGTGCGTCACTGCTTAGCGCCAGGGTCAGGGCATTAAACACCACACCAAAGACATACCTACAACAGCACACAGCAAAGGGCTGAGATTAGCATCAAACTTTGGCTGTGTCTCTTCTGCCTTGTGATTTCTTGCACAAGTTGCCTCTTACAGTTTACTGTTCTGGATGAAGATGCTCTCAGTGAGCTGGTCTCCTTCTTTGAGGATCTTCTCGTTGTAGATGTTGGCCATGGCAGAGATGAAGCACTGGAGGAGGAGCAGGATGTGACCCACACCCAGAGAGCGAAGCTTCGCCACAATCCTGTCCCTCCAGGCCTGGCCAGGCAGCGACGCCACCCATGACTCATTGGCACTGTGATGCAAAGAAGAGAACAAAAATAGAACAAACCTGAATGACTAGCAGAATGCTGCTTCATATGTAAAATGCATCTAGACTGTGTGTATATACAGGTCTCTATTGATAGGTACCTCTTTTTCTTTCCTAATGCACATTCATTTGGCTGGTCTGCACATTACTTTCTTTCCTTTCTGTTCTCTCAGCCTTATATTGTTTACTTGCCCACTGCTACCTTACATAAGGATATGTACTGTACATACACATTGAGAGCTGCTGTACCAGAGTCAAATTCCTCCTGTGTCCAACACACCTGGCCAATAAAACTGATTCTGATTCATTTAAAATTGCACTACATCCTCTTGTCCTGAGACTGACAAACAGAATAAAGCTGCATTTGTCCAAAACAGCATGAGCCTGAAAATAGTATAAAGCTAAAGTCTATATGCTAAGTCTCAGAGTTCACAGTGTCAATCAATCAAACTTTATTTGTATAGCACATTTCAAACTGGGTCAAGTGCTTTACAGACAAGACTGACAGGCTGATGATAAAACAGCTCTGACAGACAGACTGTGGATATTTTGTCCTATTTGGTAAATAAATCAACTCATTTCTCCTTTAATTTGTTCAGGTTATCTTTCATTATACTGTATCTTCCTTCAGTACATTTACAGTTGAAGTCACAAGTTTACAAACACTTAGGCTGAAGTCATTAAAACATT